CTTTTTTCTTTCTTTCTTTTTCTTTAGCTTTTTGAGACAGCATCTCACTATGTACTTCCAGCTACCCTTGAATTTATTACTGTACCTAGCCCAGACTGGCTGAATTTAGCACAATCGTCCTGCCTCAGCCTCCCAAGTGCTGGGATTACAGGAGTGTGCCACCACGCCTAGCTCCTCTTTCCAATATACTTTTTCCCTTCAGTTCCTGAGACCCCACACTCTCCAGCCTTCCCTCTGACCTCACTAGAGCTTGCTTTTGTTTCATTTTCCTTTTCCTCCATATCTTCCTGCTTCCCGCTAACTGGCCTCAGAGCTCTGTCCTCAGGTATCTTCTTTTTATACTCACTTTCTGCTCACTTAACCCTGAATATGCAAACAATTCCCAGATTTATGCCTCCATCCTGGTCCTGTCCCCTAACTCCAGACCTATGTGTATGACTGCATACTCACCATATGCGTGTGTCTAAGAGATGTCTCAAATAAACATGCTGAAAACTTCTGATTCTTTGTACCTGACATCTCCAAACCAGTCCTTCTCCTCCCTCAGTGTTCTCCAGATTGATCCATTCACCCAGTGGCATTGTTCATCCAGACATCAGAAAGAAACCCTTGGGGGCAGTGCTACCTCCTCTGTTGACCTCACATCCACATCTGATCTATTAGCAAATCTTATAGTTCCACCTTCAAGTATGTACAGAATGTTGCCTCTTAACATTTCCGAGCTTTTACCGTGGATCACTGCACTGGGCTTCTCTCTGCTAGCTCTCTTTCTGCTTTCTTGCCCTCTCTTCAATTTATTCTCCATGCAACAACCAGAGTGATGTTAGATCACGTCATGCCTTTATTTGTAGCTGTCTAGCAGCTGCCTATCATATGTGGATACAATGCAAAATGTCTTCCACAGCCCCAGATCCTACAAGATCTGGGTCTGCATCTCAGTCTTAATCTTCCTCCCCACTCCTTCTTGTCTCTGCACCAGCCACACTGGCCTCCTTGGTGTTCTTGGTGCATGCCAAGCACACCCCAGCCCCTCTCAAAACCGTTGTACCTGCCTTCCTTCATCCCGAACCCCTCCCCCATGATGTCCACATGGACTGTTCCTTCACTTCCCACACATTTCTATTCGAGTACTGCCTGCCTAGTGGGGCCTAACCAATGAGCTCGATATAAAAAGCTTACATTTCAAACAAAAATGTTTCTCCTTCATAGCACATAATGCCATCTAACATTAGCATATGTACATGTGTGCTGTCTCCCCATGAAGATAGGCCTTGTTCATCATCTGACCCTGTTTGGGAATCTTGCCTGTCATGCTATTGGCATTTAATAAATATTCCTTGATTTGATTAATGAATTAATTGTGTACATCTCAGGCACCAACCATTTCTATTCACTAACCTCCATGCATTACTTGTTGATATAGTTCCCACAGCCCTGGTCAGATCTCTCCCATATGCCTCTTCTACCTAAAACTCACCCTCTCTTCAAGTTCTTTCCCTCTGGTGCATTTCTCACTTATTATCAGCAAAAGATCTTGCTGCATACTCACTGTACAGGGAACAAGCAAGACCAACAGATGAGAATTCCATGACTCTTTAGCCACATCTAAAAAAGTTCCCATGCCCACTTCCCCCTTTGCTGGCCATCTCAGGAGAAGAGTTCTCTCTACCATTCCCCTCCCTTGCCTTCCCAGGTGCCTTCTACATCATTTAATTATCTGTGGCTTGGCTTGGATCATCCATCATTCTCATTCCAAGGTCTATTTCCTTCAGCATCTAAGCATTTCAAGAATCTCATCTTAAATGTTCACCTTCTACTTTACCTTCTTTAGAAGCCAACAGATAAGCTTCTTGAAAGAACCATCATCATGTCTGGTCTCCATTTCCAGCCAATATATTCAGGTTTTGATCCTCTGCAGTTTAATTTCTTTCTTTACTTTTTTTTTTTTTTTTTTTTTTTTTTT